GCACCGCGTACTGCTCTCCTCTTCGTTTCGATTCACACGAATTCCTTCGGAAAATTGTACTGCCTCTGCTTTGCATTTTATTGCCGCCACCATAGGGCGATTCACGATAACTGGATATCATCGGGCGAATGTCTATGCGTAATGACGGATAATAACACGTCCGCCGGACACTGTTTCCACTGAACTTGTTTCCATCCACGCGAATTCATTCGAGAAGTTTTCTTTGTCGCGCCTTGCGCCTCACGCGGATGAGACTATCAATCCGTCGACGTTACGAAGATAATCAACCATCTATACGCAAACGGAGGTGGTTCGTAACAAGTTGATCACGATTTTCGTTCGTTTCAATGTTTGTCAACTTCGATTTTATCGCACTTCCTTAGTCGCGCATTGCGCAAGCTACTCACCGCGGGGTTCGCGCGTTATGAAACACCTTGTACACAGTAGAAGACAGCTAATACATCATCTCCCACGATGGTTCATTTCATACTTCGGTTATATCTGCGAAGTTAGAATCTTAAACTTGGAACTGTAACGGAAACCGTTCGAAATGGAGTCCTACACGAAAAAGACGATGTTGCGGGTACCCTTAGAGTAGTTAGCGCATCCATCACTGTCGCCCGAGAAGAAAGTTTCCGAGGCGTGGTCTGTGAATCGAGATCAGCGCCAGGTGTCCCAGCTTCGAACACTATTTCCCGCGTCCGAGTGAAAGCGAGCGGCGCGGGAACGCGATCCCCGGGAAGATCGAACCTTCAGGTTCGCGGGAAACCCCGGCGAAATGCATCAAGTTCGCGACCTTTGCTGGATATACCGCCACGCTCGGTGTAGGATGAAGGGCGTGTCTCGCTGGATCAATGATTTATCTCCACGGTGAAGGTCACTGGCTCGTGGAAAATCCTACGGAATTCTCCGAGATCTGCGAAACCTACCGGCTGCTCTCGGTTACACTCGGATTTCTGACCTTTCGAGACTTTCACTGATCAGAGATTAGACCGCTACGCTCTGGTACCCTGTCGATGCACTGTCTACCCCTTTCGAGTTTCTGATCGAATTTGCTGCGCCGTCGGAGAATTTGTTCGTAAATACCAGCGATCGTTCGTTCGATCGTACACGCGGCTCGAAGTTACAAGAACGAACACGTTCGATCTTTGTAGTCTCCCAACCATTTGATGTTTACAAACTCAGAATTCGCTTTGGAAGATTCGTAAGATTATATTAATATCCTTGATGTATTTCTCATGGACGTGATTGGTAGTAGCTTTTCATTGCTACTCTTATTATCAGTTGTCTCATTACGAAAGTTTCTGTTATCCTAAAATATCGAAGTTTTTATTGTGCCTAGCTTCGACAGCCAGAGTAGTTAAGAAGCAACCAAGGAAGGATCTACGAGAAGTAATAGATTCGCGGTCGATAACTCGAAGTGAATAGAGATTGACGAGGGAATTCCAGGTGAACGGAGATTGACGAGGAAGTTCCTGAGGAATGAGGATTGACGTGGAAGTTCCTGAGGAATGAGGATTGACGTGGAATAGGGATTGACGAGAGTGCCCGACAATCGTAACGTCGGCCGATCGTCGGTTTGAAGCGTGAAAAAACCTGCTCTCGTTTCGAGGCATCTTATCTCGAATTTCTATTTGTCCGATTAGCAGATACATTACGCGCGATTATCTCTGCCGGTTAAGACGGACAGTTTCGATAATTCGTTTTTCAATTAGAATCGAAAGGGAAGCGGATGCGAACGGCGCGGCGCGTCAATCGAACGTTCTCCGGGAGACCGATCGAGCTGCCGGCGCGCGATGGCGGAACGATCTATTCGTCTCGTTAGGCGTTTTAACCTTTCGAATTAAAAGGGGGCGACAGAGAGGCCGGTCCGGGCAATCGTATCGGCCGATCATTAATTCCCCGCGATCGGTATCGATCGGCTTCAATAGAGAAATTTTCATATCGTAATTATCATCGTTAGATTACCGGGCCGGCCGTTCGAACGCCAATTTAAATCGAACAACGCGCGCACTGTCTGCTCCCAAATGATGTATTAACCGTTTGGACTACTTTCACCGTGGCTCGCACACTCCTCTGCCCGTGATTTACGTCGCTTGCGTAACGCCCGCATTTTTTCGCGATTCCCGTCATTCCGCTCTTCTTTTCGCTTCTCGTTTTGCTACGAGGAGCGTCGGCCCTTGAGAATCGGTTTTCTAGTTGATTCATCGAATCTTTATATCTTCGTAATATTTCATTGAAAATTCGTTCGATTTGGAAATGTTGAAGGTACATCTAAGGATTTCACTAAGGATGTTAAAGAATCCTTTGATATTTGAATTTGTGAAGCATATTAAAAGAATAATATTCATGACGTTTTTAAGGAGATTTTTCGATGAGACTAATTCTAGCATCCCCGGTTTCGAAATAAAAGACGCACGTAAAAGAATTGTAAAACTTTATTGTTTTAGATTCGAAGCCATTATCTAACGCGTGGAGGTATCAAGATCGCCGGGGCGCGGGGGCAAGCAATACAGCTCGATAACAAAAAGGAAACACGCTGGAAATTCAGCAAAACTTCTGCCATTCTTTCGGAAGATCGCGATAAGGGGACGGCGCGCATAAAAATCCGCGAGCGGTCATTACCGGGCCGGTTCGCGCGCTTACATCGTTCCCTCGCGCGCGGAACGCAGTAGAGTAAAGATCTTAATCAAATTTAGCGCTACATATAAATATATTTATGAACGCAATAAAACCCCCGGCGGCGGCCGATAAGATCGTGGCCACTTTTCTTTTCCATAAATTATTCCCTGAAATAGCGAATCCGCATAAAAGATCCGCGCAGGCCTGATCATTATTAACCGACCCTCCGTTGTCGGTCGGCCGAGTAGATAAATCCGAGCTAAGCGCAGAAGCTCCTCGAGTCACGTGGTGCCCGGGTGGAAAAGGCCGAGGACGCGTGTAAGCGGAGAACCGTGCACGCGCGCGGGACGTAAGTGTGCGTGGGGATGCGTGTATTTAAGATGAAAATCTTGACGAAGCACAGGGTCTAAAGTGGGAAGGTAAGATTGGGTAATACAGGCGTTTGAAATCCCGAACGGGGCTCCGAGGAGAGGCCTAGGCTTCCAGCGTAGGAAAGCCGAGAGCCTGGTCGGCCGGGCTGTGGAAGGTCTCGCAGGCTGCCGGGCGAAACCTGACAAACCTAGGGTCTTCGACCCCTACGGGCGCCAAGCGAGGAGAGTACCGGGCTCTCTCGCGCGCCTCGGCTATGGCGTGCAGCCACTTTGCCACGACACAGCCATAAACATCTCTGAATGGAGACCACCCACCAGCCTGCACACTTCTCGGAACTGCACTCGCGCATTTCACAAGAACACCAAAGGCGCTCCACCGGCGAGCACTCCGCTTCCACTTTTGCGTGGCTCTCCGCCATTCGTACACTCGAAAAACCTCTCTCGCCCCGGCGCGGTGCGGCCGTTCTCGACGGTGAATAGCGCGCCGAGAGAAACCTCACGGTTATCGATTTCCCCGCCACCCCCGCCTGCCGCCTTCGCCCGCCCTCGCTTCACCCCGTCGAGCCGTCGCTCCGCTCCTAGCTAGTCCTGCGAGCCTTCCTTGTACCTCGGACCGATTCCCGGCGGAACCTCTAACACGGGCTGCCCTTTTGCACGCTCGTAACAAGAGACCGCTCTTCTTTCCGAGTCTACCGCGAAAACTTATTTCGTTAAACTTGCCGGGGAAATTCTTGGTGAGAATGTTCCTTCCTTCGGGTAAATTCGATGTTCCTCGTGCTTGTAGAGTTCGAATATTTTTATTCCTTTTTTATATCGCACTTCGGTTACACTTGGATATCACGTCTTCCGTTACTATGCAAATGCTGCATAAAGATACCCAATTTCTATTCCCTTCTCGCTTCTACCGAAGGATCCTCTATATCTAACAATTCAACGATCACGAAGTAGAAAGCGAACGAGCTATTTCACAGTACTGAAAATGGAATCTCGATCACATGCAAGACGCGCCGCGAATGGTTTCGCCGCTCTATAACTATTAAAACTTGTTGTTACCAATGTCATTATGTAGAACATAAGACAATTATCTAACTTAATCAACTAACATCTATTTCAGTTAAAAAAATAAGCCACTCTTCGATGCAGCAATCGAACAAGTCGATGTCAGTAAACTTAGGGGTTAAACCTAGCTTACGAAAATCTGGGTCAGAGCAGACCCAGATACTGCTGTCGCAGGTCTAATCGCGGGAGGCTCGCCAGAACTACTTCTCGGTAAACATCGAGGCTCTGCTTTATGATCGGAGATTCTCTTCTTACTCTCGCCTTCGACCCGCTCGCGCTATTCCGATAGAACAGACGGTGATCCTTGTCTACTGCTTTTTCATCGGACCTGCGGCGGCCGCGTATAAAATCCGCGGGAACACCTTTCTGCGGGCCGAAAGCGAGCCGAGTCGAGCACCTGCATACCCGAGCACCTCTACCAGGCTGGCCAGCTCTTCGTCCGCGGAATCGGCGCCGTGTTTTACGACTAACCGTGAAATCAAACTCGCCGGTGTTTGCTGTTCGCTCGCTGACCACCGACCCGCTATCCGCGCATTGTTTTTTTGCGCCGCGTTTTTCCCCTTTTCTTCTGGCTCGCCGCGACCTGCGAGTTCTACCCTGCTCTCTTTGTCCGCCCTCTTTCTTGCTCGACTTCAAGATTTCTTCTCTTGCTCCACCGTTCGCCGATACTACTGCGATACTGTAGCAACGAGGATTTTTACTCGTGCGACGAAACTTGTTCCATGAACAGTAGATCCCGTATAATTGTACTTCGCAACGTCGACAGACTCACTAAGATCCCACGTAAAGTAGATTCGATATCTACGATCTGTCTATTTCCACTCGATCAACGCGCTTAATTTAAGCTTTCCGGTTCTTAATTCTCATTCGAATATATTATTAGTCTTTCAAAGAGAAACGTTAATTAGTTAATCCTGCACGTTCGTGAAAAGCGCTCATAGAAATAAGCATTAAATCGTTATATAAGAAATAAAAATTAGTTCATAGACTCATCAATTGTTCCCCACCACGGAAATCTTGAGTAAAAGGCGAAAGATTTAGGCGTGATCTGAAGGGAAAACAGAAAAGCGCTTGTAGGAATAAGTCTTCTATAGTATCGAATCGTGACAAAAATGTTCAACCCTTAAATGTTATTTATCCGTTTCATGCAAACAAAATGTTACTCGCTGATTACCAACCTTGCTTGATCTTCAAAGTAAACTTCACAGTATAACATCCAATCCTCTTCTCTCTCTACTAAAGCGTTTATCCCTTGCCGTACAATGACGAGTGAGACTCGTGATGAAGATTTCTAAACTAATTTAACAAGAATCAGTGTTGTTCATTAGCCACGGATCAAAGCAAACGACTATTTTCTATTATCAATGTATTATCTTCAAATGAAATTTCCACTTGAAGTAGAATGGAAAATTTTGTTGTATTTCTTCCAAATCGTCGATAGTAAAATATTACACGAGCTTAGTAAATAGTACGCCAAGGGGTTAACGACGAGGTAGTGTTATCGAGTCGCGAAAGAAGTCATAGGACAAGGGGTTAATCGAGGGACGCGTGTTCGCCGCGTTGACGCGCTGCGTCGGCCGATAAATAATAATATTCACAGCACGGCGGGGACACGGCGTGTAACGATCGCGGATTCCGCCCTGTCCGGCTCGCCGGCCGGCGAATTTATAATCCCGCGACGTTGAAATTGTGCGCGGTCGCTGGTTCCGTTACGAATCCCCCGGCCGCGCCGCGTGTATGCACCTTAACCGCCCAACCGGACCGGCAGGATTCGCGGGCTCTCTCGGGCACCGGTCATCGCATAATACACATGACGCTCGTATATCTCGCGTTACGCAATCCACCGTCCGGCTAGATTACACCGTTCCGCTGGGCCTCGAGGAGTTTATACGCTTCTAATCGCGCGTCGCGCGCGACGAACATCGATCCTCGGTGCGGGCTCGCGGAAAAATTCTCCTTTGGACCGTCTCTTTCTTTAGGTTTCCCCACTTGCCACGGTGGTGTAACCCTTTTGCGATCCTTTGCAGAGCTCGACGTTCAATTTTACTTTAATGGTTAGACGTTCTGATAATTCCCATTGTAACTCGTATTGCTGTGGTTAACGTGCAAGTAGAATTTTAGTGCTTTCCGAGCGGTGTTAGGTGAACTGTTAAGGTACTATGTTAAGCATAGCTGAATTATACAATGATGGGAGTGCGAAGTTGATGCAACGTTGATGGAGAGTTCATTGGAATTTGGAGTTCATTGTAATTACTTTTTATAGTGACATCAAGCGTAGTTTGTTGTTTAGGTCTGTACTTAGACAGTTTATGAATAAATTGGATCGGAGTTAGAAGTTTAGATCAAGTTGGTTAGACGCAAGGTGATGTTAAATTTTATCATCAATGGCTTGTGTTGAATAGAAAATGGTATTCTTAATGAAGAACTTCGATTAGTAATATGAAGACTACGTATGCTGTTTTAAATGCTAGTTTTATCGTACTTTGGGAAGTCCGTTTGTGATTATACCTCTGTACGAACTATTTACAGTTAATATTCGAAATGTTAATAATTATGTGACAGAAGGAAATATTGAATGCCATGTTCAGGAGGATCGAAACAGCTCGTAGACGTTCGGCTTCCAGTTAACCGGCGGTAAATATGGCGCAGAAGGGAATCGTGAACGGAGGGCTTCGTAATGAGAGAGTCGGATAGCTTAAATCAACGTGTTCGATTATTTTCAATAGGCTGATGGTTATGGAGATTCGTGATTGTAACGTGAGACCTCTAAGAGTGGCTCTCGGCAGATTACCGTGCCGGGATTTAGCGCTTCGGGTTAAGTACATTAGAATTTATTTGAAACCCGCGGCGCGAGGGATCGATAGATCCTTTCACCATGTCGCAACACGGTTTTTTTCTCATCGTTCTAACGATTTTTCCATCGATTTCGCGCGACGAGAAAGTGCAGTAGCTTCTTGACCCGCGACGCCATCTTGTAGGCGTAGCTTCGCTCCTAGTAAAACCACACTGTTCGTAAGCTTTAGTAACTAATAAGTAACTAATAAGTCAAGCTAATAGTACCTATATAGTTACTATTTAATAAAATAGAAAAGCGAGGCTTTAAGTATAGGTTAGGAAACTTTCACATTACTAATTCCTAATCACACATGAAACGAAATAAAGCAAGGATTACAAATATACATTGCCGATCGCACGTTTTCCCTAATAGTACAGTAACCTTTCCAAATTAAATCTCCCATAAAACACATAAGCCATAACAAATACTGATCTAATACCAATGATCCTTTATTTCCCACAACTTAACCGCAAACACACAATTACTAACTAAAGCCAGAAAACCTAACTAATAGAAGTATTCACTCCATTAACATTCTCCTAAACATTCATTTATTACTGTAATCTACAATAAAAAAATAATGGGTGCAATTTCCTAAACACAGTCCTCTTTAAAACGAGTCTAGACTACCCGACATCCTCTCTTCACAAAGTGATTCCGCCTCGAATTTGAGCGATTCTTCAACTTCAAATTTTCTGATTCTTTAATTCTCTTCGCCAGTACATAAGAACACGTCCCGACGCGACTGTGTTAACACGTTTACCATTATTCACGAATCGTCCCGACGGCACGCTCGGAATCGTATCGCCTAGGGAATCGTATTCGCGTCCCGACGAGCGAAAACAGCGGACGCATCCGCATTGCGGACCACGTTCCTCCGCGTTCCCCGTCGATCCCGAAGACGGATGCGTAGCGTGGCGTACGCTTCGTCGAGGCAAGTGTAATAAAGCCCCGCTCGGCCGCGAACACAAGGGAGCGGGCCGGCGCGGTGTGCGAGAGTACCCGGGTACCTACGTGCACGGGGCCCAAGGAGGCGAGCCGCGGCGAACACGCTGCCCGGAGAGTAATGCGCGCCAGTGCATAGTAGTAATAATAAAGTGGTAGTGGTTGGCACGTCACGGTCCAACAGGCCGATCAACCGTCCGTGCGCCGAGCCGGCTACTGGTCTCCGCCCACGCACAAATCTGCACGAACGCACACGCGCGCGGCCTCTGGAACGTCTCGCGACGCAACCTGAACCGTGAACCGATTTTTCACCGGGCTGTGCTTTTCCAGCGGTTCGTGGGCTCGGCTTGGAAAGGGTTTTTGGGTGTATGTCTGGTAGACTTGAAAGGGATGAGGATTGGAAGAGGTGCGTTTGTTGGATGGTGATTTTGGTTGACTGAAGGAATTTCGAGAAGTTGCTCGAGAATGTGTTCTTTGAGAATGTTTGATGAGTTTTAGAGAAACGAGATGAGTTTGTTAGATGCTGTTTTTAGTTGATTGAAGGAATTTCGAGAGGTTGCTTGAGGATGTGTTCTTTGAGAATGTTTGATGAGTTTTGGGGAGGAGGATGCTGGAGTATTGATTGTTGAAGTTTGTTGAGATTTGGGATTCTTTGGTTGACTTGGAGAGGATTGTTCGAGTTTTGAGAAATGTAGAGAGGTGGTTGAGAATTTGCTTTTTAATTGGACTAGGATGTTTCGGTGTTGATTCATGTGGGAATTTGTAGAAGTTTGGAAAGATGTTTTTTGATAGATTTGAAGGGAATTTTTGATGGTGAATTGTTGGAGGAAACGTTTAGAGAATTTTGAAGAGTTCTGGAGGGGTTATTGAATAAAAAGATGTTACCTGAAGGTTTTATGGTTTACTTGCTAAATATTTGAATAATAAATTCGAAGCTAGATTATGTATGGTAAATGTCAAGATGGAAAGTTGGTCATCCTCACATTCGTGTACCACCTGAACCAATCCGATTACGTCACTGTCGTTGATGATATAACTACCGACCATGAACTTGTCTGCATTTGGCAGTGGGGTTAATGCTGAGGTGTTCCTCTGGCAGGCTCAAATCTCAATTTCACTTTTATTGCTTAATTGTTATTGTTGTTACTCTGATACAATTATCGTTATACTGTACGCTATAAACAGGTACCACGGAAAAAATTCGCTGGGAGAAAATAGTCATTTGCAGAATGATGATCAGACTGCAGAATTTACAGAATCCATAGCAGCCCGACAGTAATGTTCCTGTACAGCAGGAAACAAAGAGAGCAAGACCAAAGCCCAATAATTGCATCTATACAATTACACCATTCGTAGTACGTGCAAATCCAAAGAAACAAATAATCCAACAGTTGGAAACAATCTTCAAATTACAATCGTAATAATCAAGGATTGAAGAAATTCCGAAAGTAACTGTTTGTCGGTTCCGACTGAAACAGTTATGGAGAACAGAAATGAGTCATAACTGTTGTGCTAATATTATATCTACAATAATAAGCCAACATCATTGATGAAATTCATTATTAACCCTTTGGGGACGAATGTCGACATTTTGTCGAGATGAAATTTTCATCTTCGGAATACTAAGTTGCAACGGAATGATTTAATTACTTGAACAGCAAGAGATCAGTGTATAGTTTGAGCATTCGATGCATAGCCTCCATATGTTGCAAGTCTTGTATACTTTAAAAAGTCTTTATTCAATCGAAGAGAATCATTTCCTAATCCTAAAGTAGAAACAAACTATAACCGAAATGCAGAACCGAAAAGATAACAATTATAGATCCGTTTCAAAGCCGATACACCGAATATAGTTACGCCTTATTTCGGTTCCCCGTAACTGTTACCAGAACTGAAACCGATTTCATAACTGTTTTCAATCCCCGAATGAAACCGGGTGACAAGAAAACCGCTCGTTCACCAGCCGAACCGCAGGTTTTTGTGAATCGGTTCGTAAAATCCGTCGCGCCCAGAAAAATCTGCCCCCGGTTAAATAATAATCATACTAGGAAGATACGCGCGGTAACTAGTAGTATCCCATAAACTAATCGACAGAACGAAGTCGCTCGTATATTGTCCATAAAATAGTGATAACAGGTAAAACGAAATGACTGTGCGCCGGTACCGTTAGCTCAATTTCCCTATTGCCGAGCTCGTTCGCCTTATCGTCTCGAATTATTATTAGCGAGGGGTAATTCGCGGATGGGACAAGAAAACGAAGCGGCAACGGGCGAACCTGTATTTGTTC